ATTAAAGAGATTGTGTACCTGTGAAGAGTGGTTAAATGACCGCCTCTCGAAGTCCAGTACCGGTATAAAAGTGGACAACATAGTCTCAAATAGCCGGTTCTGGTCTCAATGTTCCAGTGTTGTAGAGGCCAGTGCCCCTTTGGTCACGGTGTTAAGAATGGTGGATGCTGATAAGAAAGCTACCATGGGTATCTTTTATGAAGGTATTGAGAGGACGAAATCAGCTATTGGGGAGAAGTGTAGTTTTGCTAGCAAAATGATTGAGATTATAAAAAGGAGGTGGAACACCAAATTTGGACGTCCAATTCATTATGCTGGTAAATATATATTTATATCATTACAATGTTTCATTTTAAATCATTTTTTTATGAAATTGTAAATGACATTTTTCTATCTATATATTTAGCAGCAATACAAGAGGTATTATTTAATGTTTGGGTAAGAACTTCATTGAGTTGTTATATTTGTGAGGAATAATGCACTAAAACGTAATATATTTGTTTTAGCTTGCTATGTATAGGGATGCTATAGGATCCTTCGGAACTAGACTTACCAAAAATTCTCGAACTATGATGGATCCAGGTTATCCCCTTGCTAATATTTTGTTCATTCATATATTTAATCTTATGAATTATTCTTGCCCTTACAATGCTTTTTATATTTTAATCCAGCTGAATGGTGGGAGATATAAGGTACTGATGCACCTCACCTAAAGAAGATAGCAATCAAGGTGCTCTACCAGACATGTTCTGCTACTGGCTGTGAGTGCAACTGGAGTACATTCCAATGGTTGCACGCTACTAGGAGGAATCGACTTCCTTCAGAGAAGCTTCATAAACTAGTGTACGTTCATTATAATTTAAACCTCCTAGAGCGACAAATAAGAAAGAAGCTTGAAGACTATGGGCCGATAAACTTAGACACAATATTTGTCACAGACACAACAGACCAATGGGTAGTAGAAGAGGAGGAGCCAGTGTTGCACAAGAGAGCGTTTCTTGAGGCTATCAGTGAGGAAGATATTGAAGAAGGTGATGAGCAGCATGAAAGAGGAAGCAGCCAGCTAACGTATCCACAATTCGTCGGAAATGACGGTGATATTGTACCTAATGAGGGAGAGTGAGAAGGGGGTCTAAGAGAAAATGAGAGAGACGATGATTCTGAGGCCACCCTATCCCAGCCATATTATTCACATATCGAGTCCCAACAGCAACAGTGTAGGGATGAACACGACAGTGTAGGTGAGCATGAAGGATGGACAAGCTTCGGGGATTTTGGATTGGGAACACAACAAAACACTAACACTCAGGGATTTGGGTATAGTCAGACGCCTGCTAATATCGATGATTCGTTTTTAGGTCGAATCAATGAATTGTCAAACGAATTCAATCAATGGCACCAGCGTGACCAAGAAGAACAACAACGTCGTCTGTCATTTTATTTTTAGATCGTATGTTACTAATTGTATGCTTTATTGTAGTCCATGTATGTTGATATACTTATTCTATGATAATTCTATGTTTATCCTTTTGTGTGATGTAAATTAAATGCCGAATAGTAGTTCATGCAGGGAAAGAACATATCAATATTCGCATATTCATGCAAAAACATAGAAATTCTTAATAGAGTACCCTCATTTCTTATTGAATTCTTAAAAAAAAATATTTATAATGAATTTTAATAATTTTTTCGGATTTTTTTGAAGCTTTATTCCGACCGATTCACCCGATTCCCGATCCAGATAGCCGATTCGCCGATCCAGATAGCCGATTCGCCGATCCAAATCGGTTTTTGAGATGCCTGATCAGGGTCACCGATCCGCTTTTTAAACCATTGATTTAAAGTAAACAAGCACTAAGAAGTATAAAATGTTTGATATGGAATTATGAACATATCATAATCACATAACTGCATAATGACCACCATGACAAATTTGGGTTTTGTGAATCACAATGTTAGTTAAAAAAAAAGAAGAAACGCATGTTATTTCCAAATAACATGTTATTTCGTTAAAACTAATACTTTCAAAAAACTTAATGCTTTTAAAAGAGAAAAGATTATATAAGCTAATGGCTTATACTATAACGTAAATAGCATTGAAAAGTTCGGTTACATTGGACTCCAAATTTTGCACACACATAGTTCTCATATAGGAGATAAAAAAAAAAGGCAAAAAAGATATATAAATTATACAAAAAAAAGGATAAAATGCTCTATTACTTTCAAGAAAAAGAAATTATACAAAAACGTTGATTAAGCCCTTCAATAACTCAAAATCAATTTCTGTAAAATAATTTCTTTTAAAATAAAATGTATTGTATAATATATATGCAATTAGAAAACCCCACTAGCAATGCGTTTTAAAGCTCTACTTATACTATAGCTACAAGTTTGTTGGCTTAGTGAATATTTTTTTTTTTATTAAATAGGAAAAGTATACAATGATATCATTTACCTTTCGTATCAAGTAGCCATAATTAGTTTTGATCATTGGATGTGAAATTGAGTAGTTGCGTTTATTCTATTGATAAGGTTCAAACGGTAAAAAAAATAAATAAATAAAACAAAAAATTCACATCAAATAATTGTGACCTCATCGTACCGGAGGTAAACAATCATACATCATACATTTTAAAAATATATTATGTGTATTACTTTGTGCCATTTTTCCATTTTTCCCAAGTATTTCCATTTGTCTTTTACTTCTTTTTTTTTCTTTTTCCTTTTTTTTTCATTTTCAATTACAATGGACAATCTTAAATGATATCATGGGCCCCACCCATTATAGCCTTGATTTCCATAAGGTTTTACAGGTATAATAGAAAATCTCCCACCTCAAATAAAAACCACAAATTATGGAAATTGCGCTGTGTGCTAAATGTGTTATTATATGATTTAGGTTCAAATAAACAATTGGTAATGTGTTCAAAGCTAAATGTGTTATTATATGATTTAGGTTCAAATAAGCAATTGGTAACAATCATTTAGAATTACCCCCCTTTACTTTTTCTAGGATGAGGATAGAAAAGACACAAAGATTGGAAGCTTCTTTAAGGGTTTGGCACATGAGAAGAGGAACTGTGTACTTTTCGATTCATACTAATAACATGACCATAGCAAATAAGTAGAATTCAAATTCGGATAATTCATACAAGTAACATGATCATACTACTTTAATTCACAATTGAGAGGATCCATAGGGGTATATTAATTTTTTTTCACAAGATCACGAATAAATTTTTTTGAATAATTTGTCTGATACAAGGCATGACATGAAATAAACTAGCAGTAAGAAAAGGCATTACACACTTCAAGAATTTTTTCTTAAATTTCATCCAATCAGTATTTAGAAGCCCAGGCTCGGGCTCAGAATTGCCAAAGTCACGATTTCGAAGATACCATCTCTGGTGAATCTCGATATAGAAGTTCATAAGATTTAAGAACTTGTTCACCAATTTTTAGGGTTAGCCATCTAGACCTGGCAGGGCACGCAGCCAATCTGAGTAAACAATGAGTCCGACCCAATCTAGCAAATTTTTTTTTAGCATTGCAACTGCGGTAGAAAAAGGAAACAATGGGAAAATGAATAGGTCATGGTGGTAGCATCCCCATACCATTCCACGCTATAGTCACCGGTGCTTTTCATTCCCAGTAACTCTTAATTAACATCTTCATAAAACTAACTCTTAAATTATTTGAAATAACCTTTTAAATTATTTGGATACTTGTTTTAAAATAATAATAATAATAATAATAATAATAATAATAATAATAATAATAATAATAATAATAATAATAATAATAATGATGATGATGATGATTACTTTTAAACTACTTTAAAAAAAGCTCTTAAATTATTTGAAAAAAAGGGTGGGTCGGTCTTTCCCACTGATTGACAAAAACAAAAAAAATAAAAATTTAATAAGCAATTGTCCAAAAATGACCATCTTCTTCCACTACAATAGCATCGCACGGAATTTAGTACAACAATATGATGACAAAGTTATTGTTGCAACCATGATATGCCACGTGGGGTCACGGTTACCACTACCATAATATCTTTACATATGCTTAGTGATATTTGTAGATTGCACTTGCTAATTATTTAAGTCGAAAGTTGTTTCCACTTAAGGTACGGTTTGTAGAGGGTGATCACTATACAGGTTCGTGGACCTCCAAGTGTCTTTGGCAGGTGAGGTTTTGTATACTATTGAAGTAAGGTGTACCTCAACATTATGCCAAAAATACAGTTTCGGTGCCGCAAAGTCTTGTAATGATACGAAAATGTACGGTGCCGTAAAGTCTTGTGATGATATGAAAATCTAGTGTTATTTTTAATTATAAAATTTAAAATTCAAAAAATAACTATGATTGAACAAATTTATAAACATTTGAAAATAAACGATTTAGATAATGTATTAAAAGATGAACTATTTTTAAGACTATAAATTCTATTTTTTTTTTATTCATATACACAAATCTTAAAATCGAGATAATCGATTTGAAGATTTTTCAACATGGAACAACCTTCTCTAATCGGTTTTTTAGGTGTACCTTAGTAGTAAGATTGACATCTTATATAAATTTTTTCCCTCTCCAAATGATTGTGGCCAGATTTAATAAAGGTTTTTTTGAGGCTCAACTGTTAAGGTGGATGACTAAATGATGCTCTCTTGAAAATGGGTATACTCCAAATTTGCCAAACACCAAGGCACAATCATAAATAAATTTTTTCCTCAATTATAAAGTTGAAAAATGTTCAATGTCCCATCACACATATTGCTTGGGCCATCTAAAATTTAGATAAACATATATAACATGGATTCACACTCCCCACCTTCTCTTGGTAGGGCATAAAAGACGAACACAAGCTTTGCACCTTCTGTTTTATGCCAATTTACTTATAGTGTTATCTATTCATGCAATTTGGGTGTTGGGGTCTATAATTGGCCTATAAGTAGGCCTCTTTGGGGTCCACAAAGGATTCACACCATCAAAGACAATGGATAGTAGAAATATACTGGCCTTAGTGCTGATTTCTGCACACCTAATCCTTATTGCTAGGTGTGTAGATGAGCCTAGGCCCCTTTGCATCTCTCAATTTGCTCTTGCTAGCTCAGCATGTGCCCTAATCCCTTTTAACCCCCCGACTGACCACAGCCACGACCACGATCACGACCACGACCATGACGACCACCACCATGACCACCACCACCACCACGACTATGGCCACCATGGCCATCACCACGACCATGGCCACCATAGGAGGCACCATGCCTCCAGTTGTTGCCGGTGGCTTCGCCAAATCGACAATGCATGTGTGTGTCACGTCCTGAACCGTTTGCCCGTCTTTCTTAGTAAGCCAAGCAGCAGCATCACCCTGACCCCAGATGAATATTGTTCTGTCACGTACAGGTGCCCTAGAGTATAGTGTTACTATAATCATGGAGGGTGTAGTATTGCTAGAAGAATGGATACGCAAGTTCTCATGAAGAAATAAACTTATGCTAGACCCAAATATGTTTCTTTAGTTTCACTAGGTTTCTTATTGGTTAGTGCTACTCTAGCTTTCTTAATGGTAATATGATGTGGGCTTTCGAGTCATGGGGATACATTTTATGTAAGGGTGTATGGAATTTACAAGTGAGTTGAGGGTTAGTTGACTTATATCAATATCCATATTTAATAAATAGATGAATTCTTTCATCTTTTATCATTTTCCTTTTATTTAATTGCACTCACAGGTCTCTCTCTTTCATGTTGGCCATGGGGGTTAATTTAAGGGTGGCAATGACCCGGGCCTGGGTCTCTGACCCTAGACGTCCTTATTCCGGGCCGAGCTCTATCTGGGCTGGGTGGTGGCCTAGCCTGCCTTTGTTAATGGCGTCGGGGCAGGCTGGGTCAATAGAAGTTATTTATCTTCTTCTTATTCATAAAAGATAAAAGAAAAGGTAGGGTGTTGGCCAAAGCGCAGCCTAGCCCAGAAACCAGGCATAAACTTCGAGCCTGGGGTCGGCCCTCAGGTCAAATTTAATGGACCAGGCCTGGGCCATTCCCAGCTGAACTGATGGGCGGGGAAGTCTTTCCCATTGCCACCCTTGATTTAAGTGAAATGAGGGGTATCTTAGGGCATAGTTGTTACTTATTATTAGAGCTTTTTATATACGGACACCTTTTGTGCCCTATTATTACTATGTGATGTTATTTTTTGCGAAAATTATGAGGAACACCCCTACCTAGTGGTTTTTTTTTTATTTGTTTATTTTTTTAATTGTCCTCCCGTCCAGTAATAAGAACACCGTATATAAAATAAACCCTACACGCTCCTTATATGCATGGTGGTTAAATTAAAGAAGGGGACATACTCTTGGGGGAATATAGTATAAGTTTACTCCCTTAATAAAAAGTTCTACTTGGGAAGATTGTTTTGAATTTAAATTTTTGGTAACTACTTAATAATCACTATTTAATTTTGAAATTTGAGTTTTCTAATATTAAATATCACCATCTAAAAATTGGTAGGTCTCTATTCAATGTTGACAAATTTTGTTTTTTCAAATGTGTAGAGGGTGCATTTAAAAAAAAAAAATTTATTGAGGTTAATCTATAGGTTGAAGATGCTATATAAAAATGGAAAAAGTTTATATAAGGTCGTAACCTTATATGTAGAACTACGGAGGCACCTCAAAAGTCCATCGGAAAATATAGTTTTAATGTTGAAAAACCCTTTGATTGATCACCTCGACATCGAGATGTATGACTATGAAAAATAAAAAGATTATAAGTCTAAAAAGTAATGCATTTTTCAACATATTATCTATACCATTCATTTTCAAGATTTTCATATGTTTATAGATTCACTTGATTTTAATCATTTTTAAATTTAAAATTTTATAATTAGATATGAAAATAAATTTTTAGATAATTCTAAGAACATTTTACATCAAATGATAAAATTTGAAGGTGCACCCTACCTCTACGGCTATGGATGCATCCGTATGCTAACTGCACCGTATAAAGATTGGGTTCTTTAAATTAATCCTACGTGGGATTTTACTTGAGGGAGTGCACAGGGGTTTAAAACGAAAGGACCCACATTGCAGTCATACAAAAGGGCCATCCAAAAAAAAGACCACCAAAGACAAAAGGTGTCAGGGTTGTTTTTATTGAGCAAAATTGACTCAACTGAACCGCATGACTATATATGCGGTCTAAAAAAAGTGCAAAGCACCCATTTTATCGATGAAAGTCGGTGTTTCATCGAAAACAATGGAAGTGTCCAAATGTTTTTTTATTTGAATTATTATTTTTAATTTTTAAAATTTATTTAGTTTTTCATATTCATGATCTCCATGTTAGAGATTACAATTCCTTAAAATTATGTATAAAAATCCATCTAAAACATAGATTTATTAGTAAGCCTGCATTTCTACATATGCGGGCTTGGTCGCATAAAAACCGAGTCTTTTTATTAATTACCAACGAAAAAAAGTATATTGTTTATTTACTTCCTCGTATAAAACCACACTTAGGATTAATATAAGGAACCCAAATTTTGGGGATATGACATCTTCAACCCCATAGATTAACCTCAATGAAAAAAAGTCTTAATTGCACCTTCTACACAGTTGAAAATTTCATGTCTCAAGATTGAACAGAGACCGTCCAATTTTTAGAGGAATAGCAGTGTTAGAAAACTCATATTCGAAATTTTAACTTTTGAAAATAAATATCTAGTGATAAATAAGTTCGTTCCAAAAATTTAAAATAGAAAAATCCTCCCAAGTAGGCCTTTTTAATGAAGCAGTAAATATATATTACATCTCCACAAGAGTACGTCCCCTTTTGTATTTAACCCCAATATATTTAAAGAACATGGGGTGATAAGGGTTTATCACCTGTCCGGTGATGTTATTGCCAGAGGGCTACTTACAGGAAAAAAAAAAAAAAATTCCTAAGAGAAAAATAACATCAAATAATAATAAAAACATACGTAAAAAGATTTTATTTATGTATTTTTTTATTTATTTGTTCTATTAAAATGTTCATCTTCTACTTGATTTATTTATTTATCTTTTGGCTTTATTCTATTTATTTATTTATCTTTTGGCTTTACTCTATTTATTTATTTGTCTTTTGGCTTTATTCTATAAAATGGAATGTTGTCTCTGGATAAGGCATGTATATCCATAAAGACAAGTTGGGGTTTGGTGGTCCAAGGTGGCTTTCTTGGTGGCCCATGCCAGTGACCCGCACGAGCGGTATTGGTGGGGCCACTTTAAGGTGAACGGTCATTAAAACCTTAATGGATCATCATTACTCTAAAAGGTTGGTTTGGCTTTAAAAATCTTAAACAGTCGTTCCAGCTAAGTTTGTATATAAGATAAAGGAAAATGGTTTGATAGGGTTCTAGCCATATCAAAATAAATAAAGCCTCGTGAAAATTGCAATTTAAGTATTGGAAAATTTTTATATTGATCATCTAGGCTTGAACATTATAGTTGTGAAAAATATTAGATTTTAAGATAAAAAATAGTGTATACATTGTAACAAATTATCTAGACTGTCCATTTTGCCCTAAAGAATAAGTTTTCAAAGATCTGCATGATCTATGCCATCTTTGGAGTTTCAAAATTTATTGTCTGTGTTAAAATTTGATTTTAAAACCATCATGAAAATTTATGTGTATTTTGTTTTCATAAAGCTTAGGCCTTATAGAAACTTCATTGATTGGATAATCCATTAGAGAGGGAGAGGGAGGGAGAGAGAAGAGAGGCTTTTGACTTGGATCTGAGGGCGTATACTATGTTTCCGCAAGGAGCGCAAATAGCTTCCGTCATTAAGAAGAACTAATTGGTGGATTTTTTCAATCTCCTAAAAATATCTAGATAATTATTCTAAAACAAAAAGAAAAAAACTTTTGAGTATTCCTAACACTTAAATCTTACATTTGAGATGGTCTTTATTCAATCTTGAGACATTTTTTCAAGTGCATAGATGGTTTAATTAGGAGCTTTATTTATCGAAATTAATCTATAAGTTGAAGAGGTTACATCCCCAATATTTTGGGGTGCTAAAATGAATCCTAGATGGGGTTTTACTTGAAGTACTCCTGCATGAGCAAAATATATTTTGGCTTATGATAAAGAAATTGTAGAATACATCTTAGGGGTGAGAATTTACTCGGTTTGGATCCAAAATCTGAATTTTGGATCTGATTCAGATCTAGGTATTGATCCAAGATTTGAATCCAATGGGTTGGACCTTGATCTAAAACTTTGATCCAAATAGTAATTCAGATTGGATCCTGGTAGAGATGGATCCAATCTAGATCCAATCCAGTTTTATATATATATATATATATATATATATATATATATGGATTTTCTAGGGTTAACAACTCCCCAAATTACATAGGATCATGTTAGAGACTCTTGCGAACGATATTTTTAGACTTGAAAACCAAAGGATACAGTAGGATATTTTGGACTTTTTACTTCTAAACTTGAAAAACTTGGAATTTTAAAATTTAGAGCTCTTCTCTCTCACACACGCCTTCCCACGCCTTCTTATTCTTTCTCTCTCGTTAATGTCCCCTATCCTCTCTCTCTCTCCTTGTTGTCCCCTATCTTCTATCTTTTTATCTCTCTCCTTGCTACCCCCTTCCTATTCTTTCTCTCTTCTTGTTGTCCCCTTTTTATTATTTCTCTCTTTTGATCATATATGAGAGATTTTCGGTCAAAAGAGAGCGAGGATGGGGGAGGGAAAGCAGAGAGATAAAAAGAGAGAGAGAGGATGGGGACAATAAGGAGAGAGAAAGAATAGGAAGGTGTGTGAGAGAGAAGAGCCTTAAATTTCAAATAAAAAGTCTAAAGTGCCCTTCTATATCTTTGGTCTAGTGGCAGTAAAAGTAAAAATACGGTTGACAAGTCTCTATGAAAAAAAGGTGAATCTACTAAAAATATCAAAAAAATATTTTACATGAAAAAATTGACCAAAATACCCCCGAAAGTTTTCGGGAGTATATTAATCAATTAATTTTTCATGAATTATTATTTTTATATATTTTTATTACGTACGCCTCACTAAGATGTACACATGTTCTAAATTTCAGGTCATTCTGATTCGTAGAAAAAAATATGAAAAATGAAACACTACCGAATAGTGACCGTGTGATGAACTTTGAACGGTGATGAGGGTAGGCGAAATCACTGTTCATTTTTTCTTATAGGCGTTGAGAAGAATTTTTCTAT